ATAAGAGAAAATAATAATTGGTAATTTTTTACAACTCGAAAATTAGTTTGTAATATTTTAAATAATATACATACCTTTAAGTAGAGTTCCAAAATTTATAATGTATTTTCGCACAGTACCCAACCCCTCATGTAACTTTTTATTCTTTACAAGTGACATAACTATTTCGTAATACGGTGCAAAGGTGTCCCATTTCACCATTAGCTTATCAAAATTGTACCACGGGGCGTCTTTATCAGTTGATACATTTTCAAAAATACTGTCAGTATTTTGTGACGATTTGCTTATCTTTTTTGCCAAATCGTTAACTAAAAATGTTTTTAAAAAATCGCATACGGTTTTTCGTTTTCGGAATTGAAAATACCTTTTAGCTGAGCTTCTTGTTTTTTAATAGCATTTTTAAAATTTTCATCGAAATCTTTCAACTTTCCAACTCCAAAAACAATTGCCAGATCTTCAGGATCTTGAGGAATGTTGACCTTTTTTTCGTTTCTGAGAAATTTTTCGTTGTTTGTATCAATTCTTAAAACTTTATCGCCGACTTTCCTGCTTGCTGACGGCACAATTTTTGCGTTAACAATTTTCAAATCTACCGCCCTTGCTCTCACTGTAGTCGACGCATAACAAACTGTAACATTTCTTTGTTTTAAAATGGAATTTCTATATAGAAACATTTAATATTTCTTACCTATTAGCCAGCCTATCATGAAAACTGAAAGGACAAATTTGAAATATTTCATTTTAAAAATAAATTTTCATGGAGTGTCGAATAGGCATATGGGATGGGGTATGCGCAATGGGCAATCTTGAAAGAATGTTATTATGGTAGTGACATTGGGGCAAATGGAAATTTTTTGGACTTAAACTTTTAATTTTGACATTTTGTGGTACACTTTGATTTTTTTATAACAGCTGTCACAGTTTTCATTAATTATTTATTGTCCGATCAATTGAGAAGTTGCGGAAGTTACAGTTTTGCACAAAAAACAATAAATAATTAATTGTACAGGGCACATATGTATACAAATTTTGATTTGCTAGCAATGAAACACAATAGGCGCTAATTATTTAAAATCGGATAAAAAATGTTTTTTATTTAGCATTTTAAGGGTGCGTAATTTTTTTCGGTTTTGAAAATGTCGTTTTTGGTTGGATTTTCAATTTTTTAAGTTTCCTTCATTTCTTTCTTCATCTGTTGTAGCTTCACAAAATCAAATTATGCTATTTTTGTACAAAACTTACTTTTGACCTCCCCTCCCCTCCCCCTCAATTCTACGTTGGGGTAAGTTTTTTAATTGCCAATAATTACTCAATTTTATATAAATTCTAAAATTAAAAAAAAATGGTACTTGGATTTTAAAAACTACAAAAACAAAATATGAAAAAGGTTTTATTTGTTATTTCGTTTAATTGTTTTTCTCTGTTTTTTGTTTGGAGTTAGTGTGTTTTATTTTTCGAAACAGTGCACATACATACATATAACAAAATGTTGTTTTTGTTTAAGTACTGTTTTAAATTATTCGCCTTCCTCATCTTTGTGGGTTTTGTTTGGTGTAGATTTGGGATCGTCTTTTGTCGATTCCTTATTTTCGGTTTTGTGATGTGTTGGATCGCTCAGTTTAACTAAAATTAAACAAAACAATAAGTACAAAACTAAAATAATTCGGAAAAAGTTTTTACGTACACAGGTCCCATACAGATTTCAATAAGTTACTAAAAAAATCTTGTATCTTGTCACTCGGTGGTGGCGTTTCTGGAATTTTTGGTGGGGTATCTTCAACACTGGGGGTTAATGCTAAAAGTGTTTTTTAAAAATTAAAATTAGAGAAAGAGTAACAACAACAACAATGAAATTTTATCAGAAAATATAGAAATTAAATTAAAATTGTACGTTGTTACATTCAATAATACTGGGGTGCTTACGTTTTCCCGAAAACTGTTTCCAAAAGTTTGGGTCCCAGCCTAGAATTAGAAACGAAATGTGTGATAACAATTAGAACAAAATGCATATTAAAATAAAAAAAAAGTAATTTTCATTGTCTTTTTTGTAGCTTTTCTTTATTAAGGTATGTATGTGTCTTGTTTATTTTGCAAAAGTGCCTGTACGTTCTTTTTTTTTAATATACTTTATGATTAATTATTACCTGGAAGTCCAAGTTGCTTTGTCTGAGGTGGCACACTTGATGCTGAAAATGTTAAACAATATATAGAATATCCAAAAAATATTAAGTACCTAGCAAGTCTTTTTTTTAAATATTCTTGCTTATCTATTATTCTTATATTTGAATTTAATTACCTTTAACTGAATCTTCCCCTTTTGCTTTATCACCTGACTCTTCAATTAATTATACAAATGAATCAATAGGAAATAATAGCAACTTAATAATTAACCCAAAACTTACCTCCCTTAGCTGACAACATTGACTCATCTTCGTCCGCTAGAAATTATAAAAATAATGCCTAAACATTAGATAATTAAACAATAGAACAAATGAAAAACTTTGCGTACGTTTTTAATATTAATTAATAAGAAGGATAAAACAAACTTTTCACTTCATCATTGTTATTAACATTTAGTCAAAATTTTGAATTAAACCAATATTATTTAGTCTACGTCTTCTTATAATCGAAAAATAAAAAATACTGCGATAATGGAATTAAATAATTTGTTTTGCATTCGTACTTACATTTATAGTAAGTGTTTTGCTTCAAAACAGTTTCAATCTCGCATTAAACATAACAGCAATTA